TCCAATGCTAATATACCTGATCGCAATTGGCAGGACTGCTAGCCTTTAACGCAAAGGGTAGGAGGTTGAACTTCTGACCAGCAGATAGGAAACTCGAAGATCAAGAGGTGTAAAAACCTGTACTTGGATATGGCTGAAGGATGACGGCTGATAAGCTAGAAACGGTCATCCCAGTCCCACTTTGGCTTAGTCGGTAATGTAACTGTGCTTTACTATAGCGCAAAAGTATTTTTCCCAAGTTGAAGCTTTGCACTGCTGGACTGATTTCACTTTCAATATGCGGAATCATACGATTATCAATATTAAGGCGTAACAGGAAAAAAGGCCTAGTGGGAAGCTAGCTGATTCGCGTAGTGAGTGCCTTCGCGTCTCTATATCTTAGTACTATATAAGGTTAAAAAGCTGCCTGCTCTTTAACGCATTGTCTGCCAGTGTTAAAATGAGCTCATCTTCTACTAGGCATGTCACTAAAACGGCCGGATCTTGGCATCAAGGAGGACAACCACGATACTATTGGTATGATCGCGCTGGACGAGAAAGGCAGTATGGCTGTTGGCATGTCAACCAATGGAGTCAAGTTCCGCATACCCGGGCGGGTCGGTGATACGCCTATTCCCGGCGCTGGTGGTTACGTGGATAGCAAGGTCAGTTTTACCTCTTTTTTGAATAAGTATTGGTTTCTTTTGAGGTTGCCATGTTTGTCCTGCAAAGTAAAGGTTCTGTGGTAAGAATTCAGAAACTGAAACGCGTCGAACGTAGAGGACTGAGAAATCCTTGAGGCATTATGAGAGAGTCGGCCAAAAGTCTCATAAGGCTAGATCAGAATACGAATAACAGAGAGATGTGGTCGGTGAAAAAAGCATATTGAACGCCCTTTCGTTAATTGGGATCATTGTCTGAGGTCAAATTACGCGATCGGCCACTTAATGATTTTTTGCCGCATATCCTGCAATTACAGGAGACACAGGGATGCGTTAACAACCACTGAACGTTAGGTAACCAGTGTCAATATCTCCTGATCCAGACCGGCATGACAACGAGCTCGTGGCTCAATGGTTAGAGCATTAGGCTTCTGATCAAAAGGTCGCTGGTTTGAGTCTCGGGTGGGACACCACTTGGGGTTGGGTTTGACTGGCTGCTAACGACTAATGAGCCAGAAGTGGTCATTCCAGTCTCTTGTGTCTTTGCCGACAATGCTATCTGCATAAGCAAGCAAGCTGGGGAATGAGACAATTAACGTGAGTATGGCTAATCAACTATCTAATGCATTCGGGAGGAGCGGAGCACATCGGCAAGTTGTAATTCACTTGGCGTAATTCAGAGGGAATGTCTGACAGAAATTCATGGGCAATCCGACAGCTACATGAGACAAGAACCTTTCCAATCATGTTTTACTAGCTCGGAATGAATACATATTTTGGTCTTGAAGCTTTGAGATGACCAACAAACATGCGAACCTTTCTGCGGTTGCCTACTCAAGTGTAGATTTTAAATAACACGCACATGCAGTACACAAACCTGACACAGGCCGCAATCTCACCAAC